GTCTTGCTCTGGTCATGCTGAATGACAGAATTGTAAGGTCTCTATAGAAATGGTGGGCTTTCCTACCACAGAAGAAACTGACATGAAGGAATGGCATTCATACATACACTGTCTTTTCTTTATCTGCTTATTTAGAATAGGTTATACATATTACAAAAATAAAAATGGACTACTAAAAAAGAATATAAAGTGAAGTTTCTCTCACCCTGCCCCCATCCTATAGTTGCCAATTTCCCTAAATTTTTTCCTTAGATAGTCTTGCATGTTTCCACATGTGTAAATGTATGCATGTGTGTATGGTGTTTGTGTCTTCTTTAACAAACAGTAGCTTCTGGTTTTCCCTATTCTACACTTTGTTGTCCACGAATATGATACCTTAGAGAAGGCTCAATATCCTAATGTCTGGCTTGCCCTACTTCTTCATGGCTGCACAATATTCCACTAGATGATGGAAAACCACTAATTGGTACCATAATAGGTACCATTATCATTACACCATAGGGCATAAATATTTGTCTACCCTTTCTATTCTTCATTGTTTCTCCAAAAAAAAATGTGCTGGTGCTTCTGGTGTGCCAGGCACTAGTCTAGGAATAGAGAATAGAAAATGAAATATTCCAGGAGTTACAATCCACATGCACAGGTGAACATGCTCAAACACGCTTTTTGTGAGCAAATGTTAATTTATCATTACTATAAACTCTAGACATGGAATTGCTGGACTGTTTTCACAGGTATTGTAAATAGCCCAACAAAAGGGTTATACCACTTTACTCTCCCACTCTTCGTACTGAATATTTCTTATATCAGCAGTCACTATAGTTTTTCTATACCATTAGGTTTCTTAAATACAAACCAAATTTTCTATCTGTATATGACCAGAGAAAAAATATTAGTGTTACCCATGACAGACCAAGGCCTGCTTTCCTTATTATTTAAAGAGCTTCTACAAATAAAATAGAAATCCAACAACCACAATGAAAAATGGACAAAGGATGAATAGGCCGTTCTCAGCAAAGGAAATATGCTCCTGTGTTCCAGAAAATGTTTATAAATGAATGCTGTGATTAAAACCACTTTAAATACATGTTCCAGAACAACATCAATCTGTCTCACTTGTAGTTATTATCACTGTTAATAATAACTGACCTTGGAAGATCAAGTAGCAGCAATTGGCCACGTATCTCCTGTGTGCCTGTCTGCCCGTTGACTTTCCCTGACTCTCACCATCTGCTACAGAAGCACTGATGCCACATCAGTGACCCACACCCTTGGCTTCCTGGTCCCCCAGAACTAGAGTGCTGTCCACTCTCCCTGGCTCTGCCAGGTCCCTGAGTCCCTTCCAGGATTCTGCCCCCGCCCCTTTCGTGATCTCACTTCCAACCTGAGACACCTGTGCCTCTTCTCTGGAGGTCTGTCCTTGTCCTAGGTGCCTTCATCCCACACAAGGGAAGCCTGAAGCGCCTGCCTGGCTTTGGCACCCAGTGCCTTCAGGTAATGACTGGCAGGCACTGAGGCCTAGATCCCCTGGCCGGGGTGGGGACAACCGTGAGAGGAACTCACAGTCAGGGCCGTCTTGCAAATCAGATCAAACTCCACTTCCTGTACTTTTGTCTGAGACCCTTGCTTGTTCTCCCGCTTCCAGTCGTTACTTGTTGCTCCTGGGAGTGTGTCTCCATAAATCATCACACACTCCTCACTCAGGGCCTGCTGCTGAGACTCCCAACACAAGCCCTGGTCTTTGTCACTTTTATCCAAATTGCTGTCACGGCATCACTGAGACAAAGGACGAGGGTATGCGCCTCGGGAAGTTTGAAAGGACAGCTGGGGAGAGAGATTCTTAGTCTTGCTCCGCTCTCCTCAGCTCACCACAGCTTTTATTAACAAAAACAACAAAGTTACAGAGCAAGATACAGGATGGGCAGAACTACAGGACGGTGATTCATTTTCTTCTTTCTCAGAATTCAGCATATTTCCAGCACACACTCACCGCCAAGGATCTGCCTTATCAAATTGTTCTTTTCTCACGCTGTTTCACTGACACAAGAAAGCCCATCCTGATCTGTACCCGGGCCAGTCTTCCAGCCCGTGCTGATCAGTCTTGTAGCCATGACCAGTCTTCAGCCATGGCCATGTTTTCCTTGTCTCCGCACTTCATGCCTTAGCGGTGCCCAACAAACTGCCTGGTTGTAAAGTAATCCTTTACACCTCCTCCATCCTTGCCCCACTTTCCACCTCCTGTAACCGCATTTTGGTTTTCCATGTCATTTTGCTTTCTAAGCCCCACGGGGGTGCTGGCATGGGGCAGCCAGGGGGTGAGTGGAGGGGAAAAACTAAAGTGGTGGAGAAAGGGCATTCAGACCTTTGCCACATTCCCTGTACTACCTCTTCCTTGGTAACAAAACCCTTTCATTGTGCACGCGGAGCACTGCATGAAGACTATCTTCCACCCCCGCCCCCTCTGCACTAAGAATATGACCATGTTCTTGCCAGTGGGAGGCACAGAAGTAACCTGTGGGATTTCCAGGAAGCCCATGGAAGAGGGCACTGGCTGGCGGCACAAGCTCATCTCCGTTTCTGAGGACAGGCAGGGCACCTTTGGGATGTGGAGCAAAGATCTGGGAAAAAAGTCTGGACCGCTAACAACTTCACGGACCTGCCCATAGCAGGAGGAGATTGTCAGGTGCTGCCACCACCTTCTTCTTCTTTTTTTTTTTTTTATGAGAATCAAGTTTCTCTCTTGTTTAAGTCAATGTCACTCGGTTTTTCCTCTATGTAGTCAAACGCCATCCTAACTTACACACCAGACCAGAACTACAGAGGCTGGGGAAAGGCAGATTCTTCTCCAGCCCTCCTTGCTGCTAGGGTTTGCCAATGTGACCCAGTTCAGGTCAGTGATACGTTAGGAAAAGAATGGGAGAGGTTCTGGAGAAGACTTGTCTTCCCTGGTAAAAAACAAAACAGGTACTTGACGTAGAGTTCTCATGCCAATCCGGCAACCTATCCCTACTACCTGCCTTTGGTTTCAGCAAGTAAAGATGTGGCGTCTGGAACCGTGGCAGCCGTTCTATAATCATGAAGTCTTTAGACTAAAAGCAGCCAACTAAGGACAGCTTTGCAGGACATGAAATTGAACCCTTCCAAAAATCAGAGTCACCAGACCATTCCCAAGACCTCCCTTTCCAGGCCACTTAAAGGCTCACAGTGTTAATTTGCTTTTCTGTTATTTGCATCTGAAAACAGCCTAACATTCATGGGAGGCAAAGCATGGAAATAAAATAGAAAATGGAATTAAAAGGAAATTTAATTTTTGCAAGACCTGGAGGTGGTAAATTTTTCAAGACAGCTACTACAATGTCCCCTTGGAGGGGGAGATAACTGGTTTCTTGGGAGATCACCACCTATGTTGGGCTGCTTCTGAAAGCAAGAAACAGAAAAGCCAATTTAATGGACTTAATAAGAAATGCACTCAGGATAAGTTGATGCAGGTGCACACAAGGTCAACAGGACCCAGACACCTCCCTCTCTGCTCAGCTCTGTTCTTGGGTTGTCAGTAAGATGGATACTCCAGGTGGCACATTCAGGTGTGAGGTTCCATCTGCAAGATGTGCCCCTCCCCCCCACCCCTTCCACTTCCCCTCCTGATCCCTCTCTCACCCCTTGTTTCTAAAAGAGTTGCCCTTGTTTGCTTTTCTTCAAACTTGCCTGGCCAACTCCTGCCTCAGGGCCTCTGCATTGCTGTTCCCTCTGCCTTCAATGCTCTTATTGCACAAAATCCACCATGGCTCCCTGTCCTCCTTCAGGCCCTTCCTCAAATACCACCCTCCCAGAGGGAAATGCAAACAACAGATAGATGCAAATAACAGACACACTGGCCTGACACTATTTAAAACTGTAACCACATCCCAAGTCGCTGTCCCCTTTCTGACTTCATTTTGTCACAGCACCTAGGGTACGTCCCACACAGGGCACCTTCCCGAGCCTCTCTGATGGCCAGGGCCTCCGCCTACCTGAGGGTGCACCCAGGGAGGCACACCTGCTTTTCCCCAGGACCTACAGAGTAGTTATCCCCAAAAGTATCTCCGGAAGGAAGGAGAAAGACAACCGAGGGACAACATCCAGAGGAAGAAGGGGTGAGAAATGTTTTCAGAGATGACACCCCTATCAACCACCCCCACCCGCACATCCCCCAGCATCACACCGGCATGGTTGTGCCAGCACCACAGTGGGGTTGAGCCAGGGGTCTCTGGAAGGGCTAGATCCCTGGACAAAGTGAATGCACAAGGAGAGAGGTATCCCAGGGGTGCCTGGCAGCGCCACTTCTACCCTCCCCCCCTGGCTCTCCCGCCTTCCTCTCCAGTCTGATAACAATGGCAGCTCCTGAAGCCTCCGCTGCGAGGTGTCCGCACTCGCTGCCCTCAGCGGCATCTGTGCCTCGGCGTGCAGAACAGGTGCCCGCCCCTTCCAGCCGCCCAGCGCCAGGTGATCAACGCTTTGCTGAGAAAGGCCCAGTGGGGCTGGGTGCTGACCTGCCTCTGCCCCGCGGTCCAGCAGCCTCTCCCACCTCAGGGGTCACTGGGAGCCTAGGACGCCATCGACCCCACGGCGTCTACGCTGCGCCACAGGGACCCCTATCAAGGGCCCCCGCGGCCTGGTCCTCCATCTTCTGGGAAATCACACGCCGAGCTTGGAAGAACCCGAGTTTCACAAGCGCAGCCGCCGCGGGGAAGAGACGGGGTTCTCCGGGGTGGGCGAAGGGCTTTGGGGGCGGTCTCCGCTGCCCCCTCGGGCTCTGGCCGCGCGCTCCGGGCCCGACACCCCGGCACCCGGCTCGGTAGGGGCGGGCGAGCGGCGCCCGGTCCCCTGAAGCGCCGAGGGGGTGCGGCCGGGCGGGAAGGGCACTGGGCGAGCGCCGCGGGCGCCCGGGGGCGGGGGGCGGGGCCGCCGCGGCCTTATTTCCCGGGTTCGGGCCGCGGAGCCCGCGCCAGCCCGCCGCGTCCATGCAGCCCCGCCGCCCGCCGCCGCCCGCCCCGCGCGGGGCCCCGCGCCTCGCCGCCGCGCTGCTCCTGCCGCTGCTGCTACAGCTCGCCCTCCGGGGGTCGGCGGCGCCCGCCGGGCCCGGGGACCCCAGGGATTCCGAGTGGTCCCCGGACGGGCGCCCGAGAGTCCTGCAGCGGGCGGCGCAGGCGGCGCTGCACTTCTTCAACTTCCGAGCCGGCTCGCCCAGCGCCCTGCGGATGCTGACGGCGGTGCAGGAGGGCAGCGCCTGGGTGAGTGCGGCGCCCCCGGGCGCGCGGGGACACCCTGTGCACCTGTCCGCCCCGCGGGATCTCCCGGAGACGGCCGTGCGCACCCTGCTCGCGGCGTCCAGGCGCTCGGGCTCCACGTCCCGGCGCCCGAGCGGGTGCGCCCAGCCTGGGTGCGCAGAGTCGGCGGGAAGCTGACTCGCTCTTTCTCCAGCATTTAGGAGGCCACCGAGTCTGGCGACTCCCCCACTGGGAAGTTGATGCCTGGGGAAACTGAGGTACAGGCCCCAGAGGCAAGGCTTGCTTGTGTCTAGGGGTACCCAGAGTTGGTTGCTATGGGAGCGGTCACGCTGGCGCGACCCACCCATGGCCCCGGCAGGCGGCCTGGGGCGTGAAATTCCCTCATCTAAACCAGTGCCCAGGTCTTGCGAAGACCCAAGAGTGAGTGAGCGCCAGAGACCTGCTGCAGGATGATGTGATTGTAGATGATGCATCGACGCCAGTGAGAACCCTCTTAATCCTGGCTTCTCTTTAATCTAATTGAGTGAGTGGACCTGGACAGTTTTCCTCTTGAACCGAATGAATAAAATCGCAATGAATGAATGAATGAATGAATGAAGTCGCAATCAATGATTATTTGATTATTTGCGATTTCAAGACATTGACCGTAGGAATCGCTTCGGGTCTGTGGAGCTCCACTGCTTTCCTCATCTAATCGAAAATTGCATGTGACAGAACTACACTAAGTCCTCCCCGAAGTAACGCTGCTCTTCCAGTAATCCCCTCAAAACCTGCAGACTCAGCCTCAAGGAATCTAGAATGGAGTATAGAATGTAAATAGGTAGAATTCAAAGACTGACATTGGAGTTTTTACCTAAGATTGGTGAAGACCTATGTCAGACACAGGGGTGGGGAAGGTCTTCGGAGCTCACCTTGGTTCTTCACTGGCTGAATCCTGCACCTAGGGTGGCTAAGGGTATTGCTTGATTAAATGATATTGTTCTTTTAAAAACATAACCTATTTTTGCCACCTGTTTCAATAACGATCTCTGTTGTCTCAGGGAGAAAGAGTTCCATTTTTCTAGTTCTAAAGAACAGCTAGGGGGAACCAACCTTGAGAACTTTCTATTAAAGTATAGTAGCCACCCCTGAGAATCCAAGGAGACCAAGATCCCTGGAGATCTGCAGCCTGGTTGTCAGTGCCCAGGACCCAGAATTCCCTACAGGGAAGAGGAAAAAACCAAACCAAACCAAACCAAACCCTTGGATTTCTAAAGTACACCAATTTTCAATTTATTAGAATTTTTTTCTTCCAAGTCTATAAACAATCCATTTCCATGCATTTGGTCACCTCCTTGGATAAAAAATTCTTGGCATCTTTCACAAGATAAACTACCTCTCAAACTCAAATCAATTAAGAAAAAAAATTCTATTTTTCTTTCTCCAACTCGGTTGTTGCTTCTCCTCTGTAGTCGTATAATGATCCTGGTTTAAAGAGCTCCTCCTTTCTAGTGAGTATAAGGAAATTCAAGGCAGGTATAGAGAGGGGGTGAGGGAGGAGTTACATACCCAGGGCACTGACGCTAAGAAAACTTCCTATGATTTACATTCCCTCCAAGAATGGCTATAAATGTTTTCAAATCAAGGAGCCAACAAAGCAAGCACAGTGGCTTTCAGGGCCAAAAATCTCAGTTTCTCTCAGGAATTCAGTGAAATTCTTTCCCTCCATTCCTTGGTCTCCTGCAAATCACCACTAAAAAAGGGCCCAGTTCCAGAGCTGATGGAGGCCATCTGGCATAGTGGGGCGCTGAGAGGAAGTGTTGGCTCCTGCCTGGGTACTGCCTAGGCTGTCTTTCTGGAATGTGGGGGGCCCACGGGTGGGGTGTGGTAGGAGTCCTAACACCAACCTCTGATTTAGCTCTACTGAGCCACACCACCTAGAGAAGTCACATAAGTCCTCTCTGGCTCTTTCTTCATAGAATAGTGATAATCCATGTGCTACCACCATGTCAGGTGTTTTTAAAAGACACATCAGGTGATGCAGCCCCAGTTGTTGAGTATAAGAATGTGGCTTGCCAGTGCACCATCTGAGGGGCTGTCCATTCATCCATCAGTTATTTCTTTAAAAAAAAAAATTATTTGTGCATACAAAAGCTGGGGTGCAGGCCAGAGGTGCAGGGGGGAGAGGATTCACCAGAGACAGTGGGAAGCAGAACAGGTGGATCTACTGAAATACACTGCTGAGGGCAAGTGATACTCTGACATCAGGCGAGAGAGGAGAGGTCTGCTACACCATGTGGATAGCTCCCTGGCCAGGGATCAGACTCGTGGATAGCTTCATACTGCTGAGACTTAACCCTTTGCACCAGCAGGGAGGTCCCATCAGTTATTTCTTAAGCCCCTTCTATGTGCCAGGTATTGAGCTACACTCTGTGGCCCTAATTCGGATTGGGATGGGATCACAGACGGCCTCGCTGAGATTCCCTTCTGAAGCAGGCACTTTGCTTCTGGATGAGGCGCACAGGAACCACTTGGGTGCAGCTTCCAATGTGGTGACTTAAGGGATTTCTGCTTCATTTATAAGAGCAGTTGTATCATTGACAAGGATGACAGAACCTCCAAACTCAGGGGTGCACTTTCTCCAGTCAGGGCAGCGTTAGGGTGAGCACAGAGGTGCTGCAGGGTGTCTGTCACTCATCGGGACTGACCAGGGTGGGCGGTGGCCAGAGAAGCTTGTCACTGGGACCCCTCTCTGCAGGACCAAGGTCAGCACCCCCCTTTGTAAGATAAGATGTGGGGGCCGAGTCAGGGTTTTTCAAAATAATGTTCCACCAGCTGGTTATGAAATAAATTAGTACTTAGTAATTTTCTGTCTTTTTTTTTTAATGAAATAGTTTGGAATACAATTGAGAGCACTGAATTAGGTCTTTATGAACAAAGCAACTCTTGCTGTTTCAGCTAGAAAAAAAATTGAAAACCAATGAACCCAATGACTTTTTCAACCTCGTCCAACTCAGAAATTCCTTCTTTCTAAGCGATTTCTTGGTGCGACAAGAATCCCTCCTTTTCAAAACACAGCTGCCCTCTAGTGGTGATGTGCGGTACTCGCTTGCGGGCAAATGCCAGGAGAGGAGAAACCCCGCTGGTGGACAGCATGAGCTTTGTTTTTTGTCCCTTTAACTGTAGGGACAATCACAGAGCAGCTCCTCTTCCCTCCCTACCCCTCCTGATGCTGTGTCTTTCCTGGCCTTAGACTGACCTTCCACGGCCACTTCTGTCTCTTGTCGCACAGTCTAAGGACCCACGTGGAGACCAGGGGTGTGAAGAGTTCCTAGGCTGCCAGGTGACCCAGAAACAGTCCCACCGCTGACCCAACAGCTGCCCCTCACACCAAGACCAGTCTCCTCTGGCCTCAGTCCTGGAGCACTGGCCCTGCCCTGAGCCTCCGTGAGAGGCCGGTGCTTTCCTGATATTGGGAGATACTGGCTGAGATCTGTGTGCACAGACACTCCATGAGAGTCAGGTCATCTGGGAATCAGTCCTTGGCTGGGAATTGGTCACTTAAGGTGACCACCCTCCCATCAGGCCAGGACGGGTAGTTGGAATCATAATAGAAAGACTGACCAAAGTGGGATGGGGAGATGGGGAGGAGTTACATTTTTATTGACACATGTTTGGTGTGAGATTCCCTTCTGAAGCAGGGATCCTATATGATACTGTAGTGTAGTATCACATTATGATACTATATATTTTGGGCTTATAGCTTCACACCCCCATATGTGTATACGCCACACTGCGCTTGCTCAGTTTTAGTGCCATTTACTGCTAGCAAATGGACCCCACGACCCACCCCTCCCACCGCCCCTCCCTCCCCCTCTGGTGATCACCATTTTTATCTGTCTCGAGTTGTTTCTGTGGTATTAGCTCATTTGTTTTGTTCTTTATATCCCACAGATGAGTACATCTATCTGGTCGTTTTCATTCTGACGTGTTTTTCATTCTGACTTATCTGGCTTATTAGTTACCTCAAGTTCCGTACATGTTATGAGCAATACAAGAACTGGGTCATAAAATCTTAGAGGATGGCTCCTGGGGGCTCATGGGTCTGGTCAAGCATCCCATTGTTGTCTGTCCTTCCTGCAGCAGAAACATAGTGGGGGGGGGGGGTTGGAATAATGATGTGCTGGGCCTTTGGGGCAAATGCCCTACAGCGTCCTCACAGCCAAATGCCTCTGCTCGAGCTGCCTCGGCCTCTGTAGCTTTCCTCTGTGCCCCAGAATGCTGCTGATTTTCTCCCACTCTTACCTCTGGTGTCGATCTGTCAGGGGGAAAAGGATGTCCCAAAGCTATTTCCATACAGGCTTTGTGGACTCCACCCCCACCCCAGGCCAAAGCCAAAGACACTGGGAACTCCAAATCCCATCACCACCAAAGGGAAGGTGGCTGGGACCTGAGGGTGGGGTTAAGCAGCCAGGTGGATACAAAAGGCAGACACGTGGGCTTTGGGGCTCTCTCCATTTTTGGGCTCTGGACCAGCTCACAGCGTCCGGCCAGCTCTGAGAGTGACTTTGGGTTTCCAGGTCGTCGGATCGGGTAGGACGCATTAAAGACTTTATTTCCCTATTTTCTCCCTGAGTTGTACATTTTCCTTATTTCCTTTCCTCTTGTAAATAAACCTTTTATTAACCCTTTTGTGTGTGTCTGTAGTGGAGTATTCATAAGTCCCTTTAAAGCGCGCGGGTGAGGACCCACAGCCAGGAACCCGTTTAATATCGGGGTTGCTCTATAACAGATCCAAAACAGTTACTGACATTCCGGCAGGCTTCATGGCGCGGAGACATACCGTGAGAGATCATCTGTGATTTTCACTTTGGCTTCCTTGGGGTGGAGGGGGCACTTGCAAAGAATGTAGTACACAACCCTCTACTTTTCCTTTTCCTTCTTTTTCTTGCCTAACCTCGACTCAAGCACACTCATACAACAGGAAGAGTTTTCGAGACTCTTCCCCTCCTATGGTGTTTCCC